AAGGGCCTCTTGGGAGCCTTCCGCAAATACTCCATCTGAGCACCTCTATTGAATTTGGGAGGGAGCTAATAGCAACCAAATCCCCATCCTCAGTACCTAAGAAAAGAGGAAATCAATCTTGGCAACTACTGACCCATTCATCTGACCTCTATAGCATTCAGAATTTCTTCTGAAGCTTTGCAAGAAAGAATAATGTCTTGAGGTAAAAGGGAAATGGCATAAAGTACAGCCCTGTTTTACCAAAAGGTAAATCACATCATACTAATCCAACTGCTTTCTGTGATAAAAACTGATGTCTCTAGACAAAAGACATGTGGTAGATTTAATCCAGCTGGACTTCGGTAAACCATTTAACATGGTGTCAGGTGGGAGATTACCATGTGAGGAGGAGATTGGTACAAAAGTTGTGAGTTGGGTAAGAAGCTGGCTCTTGCCTTTGTTTGGACTGTTGTTTCATGCCATATGCAGACTCATGCAGATGCCGCTACACTGGTTATACTATGGTAACATTTTCTACAGGCATAAGTCAATTCTTTTCTTTTAATGAAGTTGAGATCCTTCAGCACAGAGCACAGTCACCAGGGAAAGGGACCTGCTCACTGAGCTGTCTTGAGCTAGCCTAATCACATAATTGGATTTGTCACTATACTGCAAGCTGCCAGTGCTATAGCCCAAGATGAAAATTAACCCATACTGGGCCATCCCTGAGGAGAGGGGGGCTTATGAAAACACAGGGTAACAGGAAGCTGGGGCAAAGCCACATCCAGTCTGCACTGATTGTTCCAATTGGAGGGTGGGCAGTACATGAAGTTGTGTGTATGAGCTAGTCCCCACTCATCCTCCTGGTACCATCTCCCTCTTTCTCTCCGGTGTTCTAAGAGACAGGGTTGCTGTGCTACTCACCTACCTGGTTTTGTTCTGGTTGGTGTAAACCTTCACCTGGTCAACTGTACAGAAGAACCTGAACAGAGAAAAAAATTAATTCAGCTGGGAAATGAACAAAGTAGGAGAACTGACAGCCAAGCGAGGAGGTGCCTAACCTTAAATCAGGGGTGGGCAATTATTTGGGCCCACACAGGGAATTTTAGGGAGCTGTCGTAGGCTGGGTCAACACTCCCACACCCTGTGCAACAGCTCACCAAACCTCTCTATGTGGGATGGGTCTGAGGGCAGGCAGGGAGCTAGTGTGGGCATGGGCAGCAACTTCAGTAGGGACAGTTCAGCCAGGGCCCCGTTACCATCAGCACTGCCTCTCAGCCACCCTTCTACCCTGAGAAGGTGCTTGGGGAGATGTCTAGATCCCCAGTAGGAACCTGCCAGCTGTGTCCACAGCTGATGTCAGCACCTGCCTGGCACTGCTTCCAGCATGCAGGCTGGAAGCAGATATAAGCTGCGGGGGAATGCTGTAGGTGCAGCATTGTTAGGGTGGGAGGGGGAAGAAGAGGGGGAAAAGAAGACAGAGAGAGGCAGCCCTGCCCACCCCCTGCCCATGATGAGCGGTGACGACCAGTGCTGGGGCCCTTCAGGCTGCAGCTGCCTGGAGCTTGCATTGGGGCTGCCCTGTGGCTCTTCCCCACTGCCACTAGCGCCACCTCTGGGCCACCCTGTGCCCGTGGGGTAGCAGCACAGAGGAGCTGCAGGCTAGTCCCAGCATAGGCTCTAGGCAGCTGCAGCCAGTAGGGCCCCCCCTCCAGCAGTGGCAAGTGCACCCGCCACCAGGTCCCACTTTTTCCCGGTGCCCAGCATCTGCCACAGCCACTCATCATGGGCAGGGGGTGGGCAGGGCTGTCTCTCTCCATCTGTTTCCCCCTCCACTCCCCACCCCCCCAACCATTCCTTACCTCAGCACATCCCCTCAGCTTATATCAGCTTCTGGCCCACGTACCTGAAGCAGCACCATGTGGGTGCCAGCATCAGGTGTGAATAAAGGCAGCAGGCTCCTGCTGGGGGACTGGGACATCCATACGGGTCTGCAGGTGACACTGCTACATTAGCTGCAGTCCTGGGCCCCAATTCCCAGTGAGAATCTGCTGGCTGCATTCACAGCTGATACAAACACGTGCCCAGTGCTGCTTCTGGCACGCAGGGCAGGAGCTAGTGTAAGCTGTGGATGGGGCCGGGATGTGCCTACACACCTGGCATGACACAGAAGCCAAAGATATTGGCTCCCTGTGGGTCAGATCCCATGACTTTGTGGCCACCCACCCGCGGGCTGGATACAAACATATGTTGGGCTGAATTTGGTCTGTGGGCTGTATTTTGCCCATGCCTGCCTGAAATAGTAGGGCTTCTCTCTTCCTCAGCAAGGATGCAGCCAAAGGTCTGCTCTTACCAGGGTGCATCAGTTTCAACAGAACCCTTCCTGGGGTTGGATCAACCCATTCTCTTCCTACGTTTCCATTCCCCTGTTCACTCCTGAATTTTAGACGGTAAAAAAGGCACCAAAGTTATGAGACAGACTTCATGGGAGACATCCAAGCCAGATGCAAACACTGAAAGCGAGTGACATAGACTGGTTGTAAAACATTTACAGACCAATAAACCGTTATCATTGCTCCCAAGTTGAAGACCACTTAAGTGTCACAGTAACACTGCTGGGCCCCTAGCCGCCTCCCCAGTATAATGTGATGCTTGATCCTGAAATCAGCGGAAAACTTCAACTGAATTCCCTGGTGAAAGTTCAGCCCCATGCAGCGTTTCCTGTAAGCTGTGTGGCGTGTGCGGCCGGGCAGATGCGCTCATGCTGCACTGCCAGGCATGCCTGCGTGGTCACATATGCCACACAGCTTAGAGGGAACGCTGGCCCCATGTGGCCAGTCTCATGAGCAGACACTGGATTAACAATTCTTCCCCACTGTGCTTTGGATCCTAATTAAGAATTGCAGACCAATGGCTGGATGGGAAGGTATGAAAACATGGAGCATCTCCAGTGGCTCTGAGTCCCACCTGTAAGCAGTGGCCAGGTGTTCCTTGAGAGACTGCACAAAGGGGGTTATCCAATGATAACGCAGCACCACATTTTGCGAGAGGCTGATGTGAAACTCCTCCATGGCGGCGAGTGACACAGCATATGTGCGAGCATGGGAAATAAGGAGCTCCAGCAACTCCAGGAAATCCTCCGAGGCTTCATCTGCAGGGAAAGAACCACTGAAGTCAAGCTATATCCTGTTTCACAGCTCTGAAGTGATGATCTTGTCTATTGGGAGGTGAAGCAGAAAGCAGAAACAGCCCCAGTCAGTGTGGTGCTCCGCACTCTCCTAGTCTCTCATGCTCTGGGATCACAATGTGAAGAGAAGCTTCATGCCACCCATGAGAAGATGGGGGTCACAACGATCCTTAACCAAAATGTACATGTATGAAAGCTGACACAGAACTGGGAATAGAAGCCAGGTGCCCTCATCCCTCTTTCACCTCTCTAACCTCCAGACACACTGCCTCCTTGCAGAGATCTTTTTTCTAAATTTTAGAAAAGTCCCAACCCAGGAATTCACCAGTAGCTATTACTGCCAGGTCACACACCAGGTAGAGTACACATTTCATGGGACACACATACATGTTTTGTGCAGGCTCCTCTCTCACCCACATGTCCATTACATCTTTGAAGTCAGAACCAAAGAGGAGCCCAGAAGTCACAAAATGTAAACACAACAGCTACTAAGACTGCTAAGAAGGCAGCTGATCTGGCTGGGAAAGTCGTTACAGAACTTCTCTACGACTGGGACATTCCAGATCTGCCCATGAGGCGAGTCCATTTACTGTCTGTACCAACAGAAAGTAGCTGACACTGGACATAGAGAGCCCAGGCCAGTATAGGTCATGGGAGGGGAGGGGCTTGCTAATGGCTCTGCTACCAGTCAGTTTGCAGAGAAAGCAGCTACAAGACTTGTTCCAGTGCTGACACATGGGTTTCCATGCACCAGGGATCAGTCCCAACCTCTGCTCCTGACCACACTATGCCCAACCTGGGGACAGGGAGCTCCTCTCTTGGAACTCTCCTTTCCTCTCTCCCCTTCTGCTACTCTCAACAACCCATTGCTAGGAACAGAGAAGAAAGAGCTGAATTTACCTACATGGCATGTAGACATATGTTATCCAATTGCCCCGCACATGTGGGAAGTTGCGTACACGCCCGCCATGCTTGGTGCTGTCATCCACGACCTCCTCCTCTTGGTCTTTGAACATGTTTAACACGCTGGTTGGTACCAGAAGGCGGGGAGCTGTTGGGCTGCAGGAGAATGGGGGTATGGGGAGAGGAAGGGAGCTATTCAATACATACAGCAAGCTGTGAGGCACTTCTTAGCTTCTCAAGTGTCCTGGGCTAGGCTCATGCCAGGCACTAGCTGCCTTTTCATGGCCTGTGCATGCGGACTCCAAACGCCTCCAGAGCTGGCCTGCGACCACAGCCTTTAGAGCAGCGATTCTCCACCGAGGCTGTAGCGGCCTGGCCTGCCTCCCAATTCCTCCACAACAGACCTGGGCTTCAAAGAGGAACCCGCGGCTGTGGCGGCTCCCAGGCCTGCGCCAGAGAAAAGCTACTTTCTCATTTTTCACGGCTCAGGAGAAAAAAAAAAAAAGGAGGTGACCAGAAGGAGCGAGCGTGAGGCTGGCAGGGCCGAGCCGCCGGCTGAGACCCCAGGGGGGATGCTCTGGGCCCGGCCCCAGGCCTCGGCCCGGCGCAGCTCGCCCTCCCCCACCCCCAGCTCGGCTCAGCTTCCGGGCCTGGCACCCACCCGGCCCGGGCGCTGCCCGACTCCTCATCCTCGGAGCC